AAGCCCACAGAGATCCTCCTGCCTCTGCCTCCCAAGTGCTGGCATTAAAGGTGTGTACCACCATTGCCCAGACAAATATAATTTCCTTAAATAAGCAAGTAAGATTGTTTAAATGCATAAGATGGGTGATAGAACACTCAAAAGGTAGGAGCATTGATAAAAAAGAACATGAATTCTAAGGATAATGGTTCAAGTTCATAGGTTCTTCAGTTTCAAATTAAGTAATCTGAATTGAGGTTTCTTAGTCCTCAAAATGGGACTATGGCCCTCATAAGACTGTTTTGACAACAATCAAAGTAGTCAAGTTTTATAAAATCTAGATTTGTCTCTCAAGATTAACATCTAAGTGAAAAGGTGAAGCTACAAATGTACTTGCAATCTACAGATTGACTATTTTAAGAGTTACAGAAACATGCCTTGGGAATGTAGAGTCAACGATTTTCTGTGTAGGTAGGAAAATGGGAGGTTTCCTTGAAGAGGATAGATTAGATATAATAAGACGGACCTTGAAGAATGCATAAGATTTAGTATTGAACTTGGAATATGAACATTGCACAAACAATCAATAGGGAGTACACAGTTGTGACTATTAGTGTTCACTGTTTGACAGGATCTTAAATCACGTGGGAGGTGGGCCTCTTAGCATGCCAGCAGGGTGATCATCTTTGGTTCATTAAGGTAGGAAGGTAGCACCATTTCCCTATGCTTGTATTTAGACTGTATACATGGAAAAGAGGAGCTGAACAGCAGTGTGCTCTCTCTGTTTCCTGATTGTGGATTTGCTATAACCAACTCCATCAAGCTCCAAATACCTTGACTCCCTCACCATGACACTTGAGCTATGAGCCAGAATAAATCCTTTCTGCTATATTATTTTTGTTGGAGCATTTTACCACAGCCACAGGCAAAGACACAAAAGCTTCACTGGGGGCATTTTACTTTTTTCTGTCATTTCTGAGCACCCACTTTTAAAGACAAGCTCTCCCTTTACTCCAGTTTGGGTCAATGACTCTTAAGGAAAATGTGTTCCCAATGCAAAACTCCTGGAACAAGCTGTGTCTGCAGAGTGATGCGCTCACTGACTTGAATGTTAGCACTACAGAAAGATTAGAATGTTGAAGGACTGAAGCTAATTACCCTACCTTGAGCTGGTTCTAGCCCTCTGGAAAAGCCATTTCCAGCCCATTTGAGTCTGAACAACAGAAACCTTTGGAATCAATTAACTTAGCAGATGGTTAGCTTCTACCAACTCAAAAGCTAAGCATGTCATCAGATAGCATCTTACATCTTGGGCTTATAGAAAACCTCCCAATATGATGTCATCAGACAGCATCTTGCATCTTGGGCCTACAGAAAACCTCCCCCATCTTGACATGATTGGATCACTGATGTATTTTGAACTTGGCTTGATTTATGACTTTCTTTGTACTATAAAGTTATAAAGTGTCATAAAACTGCTTCCATGTTGGAACATGGAATATAGGGTAACTTAAATCTGTATTCCTGGGCCATGGTCACTCAAAACATCTCCAGAATAAACTCACTCTTTCTCTGTTTTTCTTTCTTTCCCTTTTTCTTTTTCTTTTCTTTTTCTCTTTTTTCTTTCTTGTTCTTTCCTCTTCCCTCTCTCCCCTCCCTCTCCCTCTTTTCTTCTCTCTCTCTCCTCTCTCTCCCTTTCTCTCTCTCTCTCTCTCCTCTTGACAGTTGGAGTTTTTTTGTCAACAGTTTCCTATACCAAGAAGGACTTCATGCAGAGAAGCTAACTAGATTTGAGGACCCAGATTCCCACATAGCTGCTTTTTTCCTTTAACTATGGGGCTACCTATGAAAAACGGCTCATTCTCATTTTCAATGCAAAAATCTCTGTGGTTTTGAAGCTTTTCCAGCTCCAGTCACTTGGACTTACTATCCACTTTTGGAAAACAATTAAAGCTTTGTAAACAAACCTGAATGCAGAGAGGGACTTTTTGTTGTTGTCTGTAGCATTCCATATTTAAGATGCATCTCATTCTTTTCAAAGTAAATTTAAAGAAACAAGAGTTTCAAGAAAAGTATGTAAGATACTAGGATATATTTCAAAAAAGAGGTTTACAAAATACAGTAAAATTAAAGCCAGGCAAGCCATTCTAGGCAGTATACTGGAAGTCGCTGGAGTCTTTGGTATATTTTGAAGATTGAAAGTTGATTTTCTCAGAGAGAGTAACTCCAAGGGAAAACAGCTGGTGACTGGCCATGATTTACCATGAAAATGAAACTGTTTCTACCTCTCAGAGCCATTATTTATTTTTGCAATCAGACACAGAGCTAAGGGGATGCAAGATGCAGGGACAGGGTCCAGCTGAGAGCTTCAGAGGACAGGGTGTGAACATAAAAGTCAAATTCTCATCTAAAATATTGTTTAAAAAAAAAAAAAAAAAGCTCTGTGTAGACAAACCAGCTTCCACATCCTAGCAACAGCTCACTTGCTTCAAACAAAACAAAATACAGCAAAACAGTAATTATGAAACTCAGAGTGCCTGTGATAGCAGTATATAAGTGATAATCAACCCAAGGGCAAGTTCATGGGGAAACCTCTCCTTTTATAAACCAAAACTCTTACAATAGTATAACTCACCTAGGTCACTGAAAGGTAAAGACTTCAGGAAATGTTAATGGGAAATAAATAACCTTTTCCATCTGCTAGGGAAAATTCCTTTTGGAGTCAACAATGAAATGCAAAGGCTTTGGAAAGGAAAACTACCACACTTTTAAGCTACAAATCAAATTGGTTTTTATTTAAATGCCTCTATATTTCCATTTCCAAACTGCCTTTGTTTTGAAGGTACATTCAAATTATGGCTTTTCTTGTGTAACCTAAGAAGATCTGACAACTATCTAGATGTGACAAGAAGAGAGGAGAAGCCTTAGTGATGTGTCTGAGAGTCTTAAATGTGCTAGAAAGCAACTTCTAAATAAAACAATTCATAAACATATGTTTCTTTTGAGACTATGGCTCAAAAGGTAAAATGGACTCCCAGAATCTCTAAGTGTTTTGCACTGGGGAACGTTTTATCTAATCCACTGAAAAGTAGCTTGGAAGGGGTAAGTCAAGGACATGGATGGCAGTCAAATAGGATGCTGTTGGGGTGTTCTTTGTCATCTACTGATAGAGACCCTCTGAGCATCTCTGAGAGTGACAGCATCATAAAATAGGATTTATTGATGTTATTGCATTTTCTTTAAATTTCTGAAATTTTTGTTCTTGAGGCCAGATGAGAAAGAATAAACTTCCATGGATGGTTAAGGCACTCAATTGAAAAGATACCCTTTTAAAGTACGGGGGGGGGGGGGAATGGAGGAATTATTTATTATAACCCAGACTTCAGTAAAGTACTTATGAATTATCTGCATTTTTCTACTCCCTTGCAAGCAGGAATAATTCATAACTTTGGACTTTCCCTCTGAGAATACTTTTAAAACTAGTGTTTTGGTTCACAGCAAAACTGAGCAGAAGCAGTGGTCTTTGTCTCCACATGTCGAGGCCACCCCCTCATCATCAACCCTGTGCTTCAGAAATGGCCACTTATGAGACACACTGGCACATCACTATTGCCAAAGTTCAGATTCCACATTAGGATTCACTTCTGGTCTTATATCCTGTGGGGTTTGGCAAACACACAGCAGGGCAGTATTACACACAGCAGAGTCACTAGCCTAACAAGCCTCTCATTTGCCTGCCCTTCCCCCAGTGCCTTCAAGTAACTCTTACTTTTACAGAATAGTTTTCAAATCAGTATTTCTAAGCAAACCCCGCCGCCCCCCCCCATTTGAGCCAAACGTCTCTGAAGTAGTTCTTACACTAAAACTCTGAGTTCCGTGTTCACCAGCAGAGGACTGCACAGCCCATCAAATGCTTTCTAAGTAGGAAGCATGGTTAACCGGCAAACATGGTGAGAGAATAACGATCAGGCAGGAAGAGACAAGAACAAATATAATATTTCCTGTTCTCCATGTCCCTTCTGAGTGCTGATTTTAATCAGGACAGACCAAGCAACTGTTTCCTAGGTTCAAAGTTTTTATTGGCCAACCGCTTCCTAGCCTCATACCATATATTTGCATACAATTTTAAAAATTCAATTCTGGGCACACAAAACTGAAATTTCCCTTTTAGAAGATGAGCCGGCAACCGTAAGGTACCAAGGGAAGAAAGTTTTCTCAACTTTTCTTTCTTAGTCTGCACAGCTTCCTTCCCTATTTGATAAATGACCACTGGCTTACTTCAAAGTACACAGGCGCAATTCCCAGGAACAAGACCTTTAAGGTCGAATGTTACAATAGAATGTGACGTCAGCGTTCTTTTGAGTCATAGTCTGGTCCCCACCCATTTCACCCAGGCGACCTGATAGACTTCCCCATAATCTCAGAGCTCCTCAGGTAGGGCTATTAGCCTGGACACCTGGCACAGTCACGAGGGTGTCCCCCAGCACCTGCAACGACCGACCGCTGCTTGCAGCTGGCCGCCAACTCCGCAAGAAGGAGACAGTGTGCTGGCGCTCAGGCCATCAGTGAAACACACACACTCCCCCCGCCCCTCAAAGTCATCACTCCAGAAGTTATCAGCAGGCGCGGATGTGAAGGAAGTGTCACTAGTCAGCAGCCACTTTGGAGAGCCTGGGGCAGCCAGGCTCAGGGGTGGAGGGGGAGGTCGGGGCTGTCAAAGCCACATGGCCGAACACACTCACACCGGCTCTCCAGACAGCAGCTTCCCCAGACAGGAAGCGGTGTCAGTCACCATCGCCCAGACCTCACCCTGGCCTTTTGGGAAGGCGTGGCTGAAAGGTTTTCCGGAGTTTCAGGCTCAGTGACAACGGGTCTCGGGGTTCCTCCCCGCAGCGACAGGCACTCCGGGGTTCGGGGTCCGCGGAGTCGTCCCCTCCCCTCCCCGCACCTACGGGATTTGACCCTGGAACCCGGGGCAGCTCCGGCGCTCAGGTGGAGCGAGCGCGCCCGAGGCCACTCACCTTCTTCATTTTGGTTTCCAGGTCCATGCTGGGCGTCGGAGGGGCTCGGTCCCGCGTCCGCGATCTCCGCTGCGGGGACTCACTCGGGCGCCGACGCCGCAGCCACTCGCCCCGTGCCCTCGAACTTCCGCAGCCCGGTTCGGCTGCGCCTGGGACCTGGAACAAAGAGGCGCTGGCAGCCAATGGCAGCGGGGCAGCGCCGGGAAGCCGCCAATCAGCGCGCGCCGCACGCACCTTCGCGGCCAGAGCACGGCACTAGCAAGGTGAGGGGCGGGGCCGCGAGGGGGCGGGGCCCTGCGGAGTTCCCCGGTGTGCGCGGACTCAGTTTCTCCAAAGCCCAGCGCCAGGGAGGGTGTGGCCGGCTTGTGTCCAGCTGAAGACCCGGCCCAGACCTTTCCATTTGGGTAGGTTGTACTTGGGTGCCGCCGGGAAATTTTGATTCAGGTCAAGAGGAGTGATCCTCCCAGAACAAACTTCTTGACTGATGTTTAGGGCCAAGAGGAGCCATGGAGCTCCTTAGGCATCCCAGGGATGAACTTCAGGCCTCATTTCACTATTGAATTGTGGAGATGTCCTTGTCTCCAGGGCCCCAGAGTCCGGAACACTGCCAAAGAATCTTCTCTGACATCCTTAATTCCCACGAAGACTGCTATATTGTTTCGTGAGCAAGTGAGGCTCACAAGAACTTCTGCAGAAGTACATGAAGTATTTGTTTGGGAAACAGGAACTTGCCTTTTGTGCCTGCTAAGTGTAAAAAGGCCAGGCTGCTCTTGCTTCTCCTGTTTCAAATACCAGTCTCACATAAGCCTGGGCCACCAGAACCCAGTCCATTTCATAACCTAATTTAAAAGCAATTACAATGAAGAACCTCAGCTTGGAGAGATGGAGGTGGGGGAGGGGAGTCCATCTAGGGATTCATTTACTTAACAGACTTTGCAGGCAACGGAAGGCCCCAAAGTGCAGGTATCTGCCAAAAGCCTTAGCATGTTGAAAACAGAGCTCGTGCTTCAGTCACAGTAGCTTCTCCAGGATGTGGAGGAAAAGACACATTTGGATTTAGGTAAATAAGGTTTTCTTTTGGGAAAAAAAAAATATTCATTATGTGCCTGTGTGAGCATGTGCACTTGCAAGTGCAGGTTTATTTCGAGTACAGAAGAATGGATAGGATCTTCTGGGGTTGGAGTTACAGACCTCCTGCCTTGGGCTTTGGGGCCTAAAATCGGTCCTCTGCAAGAGCAGCAGGGATCCTTAACTACTGACTTTCTTTCTCTCCAGCCCCAAGCAAATTCCCTCAGTTTCCACTCACAATAGCAACTGTTAGTGGCCAGGTGTCAGATAGTCCCCTAATAATGACATCTGCGTTACACACGTGTATTTGTCTCTCTAAATATGCATTCAATGTCAAATATAAAATCTCTATATGATGCAGGTACTTGGGTTCAGATACCGTTTCATTTTACCTCTGGAAATCTGGCAATTAAAACGCTTCAAAGTTCACTTTAGCTAACACTTTACACACCTTGCTTTCCTTGATAACTTGTTAATCGTGCTTAAGAGTGTACTTCAATATGCAATTAACGGAATGACCAAAATAGATCGTGATCATTTTTTTCTTTTTATTCAGTCAAAGTAAGGCATTCTAAGTCATTCTCCCAAACCACCTGATAGATGTGGGCCTGCAAAGTCTGCCCCTTGTAAGTGCTAATGCGCTCTGATGAGGTCTAGTATTGATACCATTTCTACTTTTCCAGAAAGCTTAACAGATGTCCAGTAAATCAGTTTAAAAGTAGGCATTTAGCAAATGTTATGACATAAACTGGGGCCCCTTTTTGTGTGGGATGGCAAAGATGTGTGTGTGGTTTAATGTCTATCAAAATTTGTCTTTCTCCTCTTTTTTCTTGCAAGCCCTTGAAGTATCACTTCGGGTGGGTAGCATTAGCAAGGTTGGCATTGGAGTTCAGTAGTCTCTAACTGTACTTTCTATCCTGCTAACTCTAGATTATTGTAAATCATTTGTAGGTGACTTATAGAAAATAAGATGAGGTAGATCAATTTAGGAGAGTTGACCTGAGATTCACAATCAGTTCTTCATGTGTTAACGTGCAAAGATGTCAAAGAGCTAGAATTGTTGTGATTTGATGATTGGATAAAGTTGGTGGCAGAGGGCAAGCATTTCTAGCATGATCATCTATTTCTGTGGAAGATTTAGGAAAAAAAAAAAGAATATATGGGACAGGGCAGGGTTTTTCATACCTGTGCATTTGTCATTGCGGAGATGGACAGCTAAAAGGTATGGGAACTGGGGTGCTGAAGGGAAGCACCAAAATATGAAGTTGAGAGTTAAAGCCTCTGCTGGAATGGTGATTTAGGTAAGCTAGCAGCCTACCTGGGTTAATTAAAGACCATGGGTGGAGACATCAACAGCTAAGAAGCTATGGAAGACAACCAATAAGCCAGGACTAGCACAGGAAAGAGATGAATAGCTAGACAAAGAATAGGCAGAGGTGAAGGAGTCAAATGCATATGAGGAAGAAAGGGGATTCCCGGGAGGATTAGCTAGCATGTGAAATTATAGAGAAGGATCAAGTGTGAAGTTGAAGTGCACCTAACAACACTCACTGGTAACTTCTGGGAGGTGCGTTGTTGATGAATGGTGGGGCAGATATTATTTAACTGTAGCTCCCTTTGTGCCTACTGAAGTCTGTGGTTTATGTTTGACTTGGCTCCACCACAAAACTCATGGACCATCAGCCAAACATATGACCTTCTCTGGCAGAGGAGAAATCAATCAAATAGAGACGTCAATATGCTGGGATTTGAAAGTCTATCCTTAAAAAAATAAGCAAATATTCTAGATTTTTACACACACACAAACACACACACACACACAGAGAGAGAGAGAGAGAGAGAGAGAGAGAGAGAGAGAGATACACACAGTTCTTTATATAAGCCAACTGTAGTATTTTTCCACTTAAACTTAGTGGGTTATCTCATTCCAGCCTCTGATGAGGTAACACCTCATGAAAGTTAATTGACTTTTCCTCTGCCAGAACTTTATCAAATCCAATAGTTCCTCAGCTAGTGGTGGAATGCCCCTCCCTACTGTCCCATGCTAGGATTATGTTTACCTAAAACTTATGTTGTAATTAAACCTTTTTTGATTGCAAGTAACAGAAATCCAGGTGAACTAGTCTGTTAACGTAAAAGCAAGATAGTATTATCAGGAGACAGTTTTGTTACAAAATTCAACAGCTAACTATATCTGGTAGTAAGTAGAAGCAGACACTACATGACCTCAGAAATCAAAAGCACCGATCTTCTCAAGGAACATATGAACCTTCACCTCTGCTTTTCCTTCTAAAACTGTCTTCTGTACACCCCGACCTCTAAGAAGTCATCCTCGGCTCTCAGGTGGATATCTTTTCAGTTGAAACAAAAGACCCAAAATGGGGTTCCAAACCAGGCAACTGAAAGACTCTTGTTATCCCAACTTGGTGGAGTTTGAACCTGTGATCCAATCAGTTTGGTCCAATGCCAGTGGTGAGGCCTCCGCTGGACACACAAACTGAAGCTCAAACTGAGAGGGCAGATCTCACCAAAAGGAAGGTTTGAGAATTCCCCAAACACCTCCAAATAGTATAAAGCCCAGATGAGACAGTAATGACACCAGAGAGTTGGAAAGACTTGCCAGTGGTGTTGAAGAGGAGAAGAAATCTGTTAGGACTCCTTCTCACATCTTAGGACTGTGCTGTGTTGCAGGCGTAGAGATCTAACACCTTTGTGTATAAAACAGAAGAGGATTGTTGAGAAAGCCTGTAAGTTCAGTTTTATATGTATCAAATTTGCAAGGCCAGTGGAATCTGGGTGTAGTAACAGACATAAAGGAGAGGGGTTAAAGATGCTAATGTGTACACAGGTCTACATCCAGAAAAACATATAGCTATGGGTCTGGAAAGATGGGATAGTGATTGACAGCACTTGCTGATCTTCAGAGGGCTTGAGTTTGCTTCCAACACCTGCTCACAACTACTCTGCGCTCGTGTGCATATAATAACATAATGTACTAATCACACTGTAAATGCAAAAAGGAATAACTGGAAAGTTGTCTGAATTAAATGAGGTGAGATTTCAAGATATTGATGACTAGATCTTTCTCCTCGAGCATGAACTCTGTAAACCTCCACAGAGAAGTTAATCATTGCTTAACACTTGTTACAGGAATGCCTCTGTGAGCCTAGTATGGCTATTATTACTCATTAGCAGCTTGAATAACATTCTAGGCTGTCCTACAGGAGGCATGCTTCAATAGAAAACAGGCACCAATATATCTCAGAACAAACTGTCACGTAGAATGCTTTTTAAACTGCCCAAACACTAGAACTTGACTAGCCAGAAATAGATGAACCACATAGTAGATTTAGCACAGCTATGAAACTATGGTACTGAGGGATTTTGGTACAAGTTACATCATAGGAACAAGGGGAACAGGTAATTGTATATCAAATAGCTTCACAACCATGAAAAAAATACCATACACAGACAAGGGTCACGAAAGACCTATATAAAATGTTAGTAGTGATTTGTCTTTGATGGGTAAGTCAATGGTCTTTCTTCCTTTAAAAACATATCCTATGATGTACATGATATATTCCTTAATGGAAAAACCTTATGTCAATAATACATGATCTAAAGCATTTGACCAGTACCAGTATAATCTTTAATCTAGTTGAAAATGTACACTGGTAGATGCAGTGTAAAAACAGATCAAGTAGTTACCAAAAGTTCATGGGCAACCTATAGTAAAAGCCGGTAAGAAATTATTTCATAAACAACAAAACTCAAGAGATGAGGCCAAAGCATCAAGACACATTGGGCATATATAAACAGTTCTTCTGTGGGGAAGGGAGGAAACAATGTGTGGCTGGTAGACAAGGTAACTGTAATGTTCTCTAGTCTTTTATTATGAAGAATTTCAGGCCCCCTCCCCAAGGTAGCTGGAATTTCAAGTCATTTGAAGGCACTGAGCAATATCCCAGCGCCCTTTCTACATCTATTTTTATTTATTTATTTTTTTCTGAGACAGAGTCTTGCTCAGTGTGGTCTCCAATTTACACCGTAGCCCAGAAAGACCCCAAAGTTGTTTTTCTTCTGCTTCTGCCTGCCTCCCAAGAGAATGGAGTTATTGGAGTTACAGACCTTTGCCACCAAGCCATGGTCAAAAAAAA